CCCATGTAACCAAAAGACCTACCAAGCGAATATTGATGCCAGTTCCTTGGACATAGGCAACTTCTTTAGTGGAATGCCATGTGACATTTTTAAAAACCAGTCAACCACCATAATAATAACTGTATTGCCCTGGAAGTTAGGTAAATCCACAATAAAATCAATAGACAAGTGGGTCCAAGGCCTCTCTCCATTGGGTATGGGTTGTAGAAGGCCTACTGGAAGGTGTCCAAGTGTTTTATTCTGAGCACATACGGAACAAGCACCTACAAAGGTGGTTACACCAGCATGGAGACTAGGCCACCAGAATTGTTAAGACGTAGACTATATGAGTTGATTTTTCCTCGGATGCCCAGCAGCTTTGGAAGAATGGTATGTGTGAAGCAAAGCAGTGCGGAGATTCTCTGGGACAAAGCAGTGGTCATGAGGTTTCCCAGGAGGAGAATGGATTTGTGAAGCCAGAATTCTCTCACCCAAAGGTGAAGTGAGACTAGTGCGAATAGTAGCCAAAATGTGGTCCGGTGGTATCACAGGAGTAGGAACAGACTCCATTTTGAAAGAGGGGGAATACTGCCACGATAGTGCATCTGCCCTTATATCCTTCAAACCAGGTAAGAATGAGACTATGTAGTTGAAGCTTGACAGAAAAAGAGTCTACCGAACCTTTCTAGGAGATAAGCGTTTAGCCTCAGAAAAGAATGTGAGATTCTTATGGGCAGTTCAAAATGAAGACCAGCACAGTAGTGCCCTTGAGGAGATGCCTTCATTCTTTTAGAGCTAAAATGATGGCTAATAATTCTCTATCCCCAATTTTGTAATTGCATTCTGCTGGAGACTATTTTTTAGAAAAGTAGCCACAAGGATGCATAGGGCCCACAGGGGGAGGACGATGACACAGGAGAGCACCTACTCCAGTCTCAGACGCATCAACCTCAATAATGAAGTTTTCAGGATGTGCCAGCATTGGGGCTGCAGCAAAAGCAGTCTTGAGGGATTCAAAGGCTTTAATTGGAATGTGGAGACCAATTCTGTGGGTTGCCCTCCTGTCTGGCCATATCAGTCAGGGGTTTGACCAGAGAAGAGATATTATGAATACATTTCAGATAATTGGCAAAAGCCAAGAAAACATTGTAGAGGACGTAGACTTATGGGTCGAGGCCACTGTAAGACTGCAGACAGTTTCTCTGGGTCAATCAAAAACCCAGCAGCAGATGTGACATAACCCAAAAAATTTAACCTGTTTCATGATGAAACTCGAACTTTTTTTCAACTTGCAGTACAGGCTGTTTCTTTCCCAACCTCTGTAGCACACAGGACATGTTTGTGTGGTGGTTCTCTAGGGATTTTGAATATATGAGAATATCATTGAGGTAAACCACCACACATTGCAGCAGCATATCTCAGAGGACATTGTTAATAAATTCCATGGAAAACTGCAGAAAAAATTGCAGAGACCAAAGGGCATTATGAGGTATTCATAGTGTCTGCTCCTAGTATGAAATGCAGTTTTCCATTTGTCGACCCATTTTAATCCTCACGAGATGGTATGCCCCTCTCAAATCAAGCTTAGTGAAGACCGTTGCTCCCTTGAGGCGGTCGAATAATTCCGTTCAGCAGTCTTCTCTTTCACAAAAAAACCTGCACTGGAAGGAGGAGAGGACTTGTGGATGAACCCCCGAGATAGTTAATCTGCAACATACTCCTCCATAGCCTTATCCTGTGAGACAGACAGAGGGAAAACCCAGCCATGAGGAGGCCTGACCTTTGTCAAAGACACCAGAGAATTCCTGGTACTCCTCTGGTAAAGAAGAGACTGAAAAAGGTGCACAAGACCCTACTCACTTTCTGAAAACAAGTATTAGTGCTTTGTGGCGACCATGACAGAACCTCGGCTCTATGCCAATCAAATGAAGGATTGTGCTTCTGTAACCAAGGATAATCAATGACAACTAGGTAATGAGATGAGGAAATAACTTGGAGTTGGATTATCTCATGGTGAAGAACCCCTACAGCCATGGTCAATGGAGCGGTTTCATGGGTCACATGGGCAGGCTGTAGCAGTCTCCCATCAATAGCCTCAATGGCAAGTGGGGAGGGAAAGATTGCAGCAGTATCAAGTGCTTCAACCCAAAGGCACTATCTATGAAGAAGCCTGCAGCCCCAAAATCAATCAGTGCCTGGGTGTCGATTGGAAAATTCAGATCAGGAAAGGGTAACCAGAACTAGAGGCGTATCTTTAAGAATAGCTGGGGATGCAAAGATGCCACCTAAGGTCTGTCCCCTACAGGACCTCAGATGGATTGGACAAGACTTCAATAAGTGACCTGCTTGGCCACAGTAAAGGTATAATCTCTCTCTTTTCTAAAGGCCCACTCTTCAGCAGAGAGAAGTGTGCAACCCAGCTGCATAAGCTCTACTTCACTGGAGGACTTTGGCCCAGGAGGCATGGGAGGTGAGGGAGGCATGGGTGGGAATGCAAAGTTCAGAGCCAAATGTGCAGGAGTCTTCCATAAAAGGAAGGTCTCTCTAGGAGTCTGGTATCAATGAAAATGGCAAATGAGATCAATGCCTCAAGATTCTTGGGTATATCTCAAGCTGCAATCTCATCTTTAATGTTATCAGAGAGGCCATGGGAAAAAGCAGTCACGAGAGCTTCGTTGTTCTAACCAACCTCTGCTGCCAGAGTATGGAATTCAATACCATAGTTGGCAACAGTTCTTGTACTCTGTTAAATGGACATGAGGCTCTTGGCAGCAGAGGTGGAGCGAGTGGGAATATATCAAATACCCTTTAAAAAGGAGGCCACAAACTCGGTAATTCTGGACAACAAGTTTTTTGTGTCTCGTAGAGGTAACTACTAGATTAATCAATTAGCCAATTAGTCTGCCATTTCATTTGGCTTTTCAAATACATGGGAATATCTAGGATTCCGGTTGGACTGAGATTATATACAGTCATGGCCGAAATTGTTGGCACCCTTGATATTTCTCCAGGAAATCATGTATTTCTCACGAAACGTATTGCATTAACACATGTTTTGCTATACACATGTTTATTCCCTTTGTGTGTATTGGGACAAAACAAAAAAAGGGAGGAAAGAAAGCAAATTCGACATAATGTCACACAAACCTCCAAAAATGGGCTGGACAAAAGTATTGGCACCCTTTCACAACTGCGGATAAATAAGAATGTTACAAGCATGTGATGCTCCTGTAAACTCACCTGGGGCAAGTAACAGGTGTGGGCAATATAGAAATCACACCTGAAAGCAGATAAAAAGGAGAGACGTTCACTTAACCTTTGCATTGTGTGTCTGTCTGTGCCACACTAAGCATGGACAACAGAAAGAGGAGACGAGAACTGTCTGAGGACCTGAGAACCAAAATTGTGGCAAAATATCAACAATCTCAAGGTTACAAGTCCATCTCCAGAGAACTAGATTTTGCCTTTGTCCACAGTGCGCAACATTATCAAGAAGTTTGCAACCCATGGCACTGTAGCTAATCTCCCTGGTCGTGGACGGATGAGGAAAATTGATGAAAGATTGCAACGCAGAATAGTCCGGATGGTGGATAAGCAGCCCCAAACATGTTCCAAAGACATTCAAGCTGTCCTGCAGGCTCAGGGAGCATCAGTGTCAGCGCGAACTATCCGTCGACATTTAAATGAAATGAAACGCTATGGCAGGAGACCAGGAGGACCCCACTGCTGACACAGAGACATAAAAAAGCAAGACTACAGTTTGCCAAAATGTACTTGAGTAAGCCAAAAGCCTTCTGGGAAAACGTCTTGTGGACAGATGAGACCAAGATAGAGCTTTTCGGTAAAGCACATCATTCTACTGTTTACCGAAAACGGAATGAGGCCTACAAAGAACAAAACACAGTACCTACGGTAAAATATGGTGGAGGTTCAATGATGTTTTTGGGTTGTTTTGCTGCCTCTGGCACTGGGTGCCTTGACTGTGTGCAAGGCATCATGAAATCTGAGGATTACCAAAGGATTTTGGGTCGCACTGTAGGGCCCAGTGTCAGAAAGCTGGGTTTGCGTCCAAGATCCTGGGTCTTCCAGCAGGACAATGACCCCAAACATACGTCAAAAAGCACTCAGAAATGGATGGCAAAGAAGCGCTGGAGAGTTCTGAAGTGGCCAGCAATGAGCCCAGATCTAAATCCCATTGAACACCTGTGGAGAGATCTTAAAATTGCTGTTGGGAAAAGGTGTCCTTCCAATAAGAGAGACCTGGAGCTGTTTGCAAAGGAAGAGTGGTCCAAAATTCCGGGTGAGAGGTGTCAGAAGCTTATTGATGGTTATAGGAAGCGACTGATTTCAGTTATGTTTTCCAAAGGGTGTGCAACCAAATATTAAGTTAAGGGTGCCAATACTTTTGTCCAGCCCATTTTTTGGGGTTTTTGTGTGACATTATGTCATATTTGCTTTTCTGCCTCTGTTTTATATTTGTTCCAATACATACAAAGGGAATAAACATGTGTATAGCAAAACATGTGTTAATGCAATACCTTTTTTGTGTGAAATACTTGATTTTCAGGAAAAATATCAAGGGTGCCAACAATTTCGGCCATGACTGTATGTGACCAGGTAACTTGTATCCTGCCTTATATGGCAAGTACATTTATCTTGGTTATCTTATTAACATATGGTTATGTTTTGCAGGCCCACCATTATCCTAGCCATTCGCTGTCCTTATTATGTTTTTGTGGAGATAAGCTTATTCTGTCTGTACTGGAAACCAATAATCTATATTGTTTTTTTTTTTGTAAATTTTTTGTGAGTATTGGCCAATTTAACCACCACCTCCCGCCCGCCATATAGTCCAATGACAGGCGCAAGGTGGTTCTCTCATTCTGGGAGGACGTCATATGACGTCCTCCCCATTCTCACCGCGCATGAGCGACTCAGGGAGCGCGCAGCGATCGGCAGTGTGCTGTGTTCCTCGGACACAGCGGATCATCGATCTACAGAAAGAACCGAAGATGTCCAATCACAGCTGATCAAATGTAAACAGGGAAATGGGCATTTCTCTCCTCTGGAGCTGTCATGCTGAAAGCTCGAGAGGAGAGCCGGTAATCGGCATTCCACGGAGGGGACATCTGCCCTGATGATCAGTGGGGCCCCAGAAGTGCCACCTGTCAGTGTCCATCAGTGCCAGCTGTCAGTGCTGAACAGTGCCATGTGCCAGTGCCACATCAATGCCACATATCAGTGCCTACCAGTGCACATCAATGCCACATATCAGTGCCCATCTGAGCTGCCTTTCATGTCACCCATCAGTGCCAGTCAGTGCCACCTATCAGTGCTGCCAATCAGTGCCGCCTAACAGTGCCAGTCTGTGCCACCTAACAGTGCCAGTCAGTGACGACTATCAGTGCCAGTCAGTGCCGCTTATCAGTGCCATATATCAGTGCTTCCTGTCAGTGCCCATCAGTGATGCCTGTCAATGTCCATCAGTGCCATCGACCAGTGCTTTCTCATCAGTGCCACCTCTATCAGTGTCCATCAGTGCAGCCTATCAGTGCCCATCACTGCAGCCTCATTAGCGCACATCAGTGAAGGAGAAAATCACTTATTTACAAAATTTTATAACAAAAACTAAGAAAAAACGTTTTTTAAAAAAAAAAAAACTTTTCAGCGGTTTTTGGTTTGTTTAAGAAAAAATAAAAAACCCTGAGGTGATCAAATACCACCAAAATAAAGCTCTATCTGTCACAAAAAAATGATAAAAATTTCATATGAGTGCAGTGTTGCATGACCACGCAATTGTCATTCAAAGTGTGACAGCGCTGAAAGCTGGAAATTGGCCTGGGCAGGAAGGGGGTATAAGTGCCCTGTAGGCAAGTGGTTAAACCATGGTTCTATTTACATTTGTTCCTGGTGGTACATTTTTATATATCTTCTATTATAGGAATTCCTTATATTAAGGTTGGCCTTTGTGCTCAGGTATGGTTTGCCTCCAGCCCTGGTCCCCTATGTCTGGCCGCCAGACATTTATGCCATTGACTTACCACCTCCACGTAAGCTCAGCCTCAGTTCTTGTATGTATATTGTGTCCACCTTATATACATCTATATGTTTGTCTGTATATTAATTTAGTATTTTCTTTATGCAGTTGCACCACTCTCCCTCATATTCAAGCTATGGTCCTGAAAAAGCCAAACGCACAGGCGAAACGCGTTGACTGTATTTTGAAATATATGTTTTTATTATGTGCTGAGTGGTTATTTCTTTTACTATACATGAGGGGGGCTTTGTGCTCAACTTGATGTGCCTTGTTCTTATCTTCTCTTTTGAAGAGTATCTCTTGTAATGTGGGTCCTATTATGGACATATGATTCTTTTATGTCAATAAACGGCTATATGTATTTTATTGTGTAGTCCCTTATTCTGCCCAAAGAATCCAATGCCTTACCGTACTTAGCAGTTTGGTCCTTTTTATTTTCAGTATTTACAAGATTTGGCACTAGTAAGCTTGTTTTTTATAGAGCAGAGATGTTTGTGCTCTCTACAAAAATTGAATCTGCTTTCGAAACCTCCTCCACCACCTTCTCATGCATATCAAGTCTTTCCTCCACCTCCTCTACCCGGCCTAAAACCTGCCCCAGGTCAGCCCAGACTGCAGCAATATCCGTTTTCAATGACACTTCCAGTTTTGCTCGCTAAAACATCTTGAGTCAGCGGAGCACTTGCTTGAGCTTCCTGGGTCTCCAACACATCCTCTGGTGGTAAGGTTAACTCTGTACTTTGAAGCCCCCCATAGGGTTTCCCCCACCGCTTCTTGGCTGGCTAGTCTCTGATATACTGGGATGTACAGCTATTGCTTCCTCCATTGCAGGCTTTTGCTTGCCTAGACTTAGCCAAAGATTTTTTCCCTGGGCTACTAAAGCCTTCCTCAGTCAGGCTTGTTCCTGCTGACATATATAGCTGAATTTCCCCTGGGCTGGGAGCTGTTTGCATTGCCTTTCCACTGCCCAACTTATTAAGTTTACTTCTCATCTCTCTCCCCTCACCAGCACGCTGACAGTCCAATGCAGACCTAATATTCACTGTGTAAATATATATATCGATCTATGACAGAGTGATTGGATAAACAGCTGACTAAGCCCAGGCAAATCAATACAAAAAAGAGTAGAAGTGTGGATACCAGGAAAACAAAGCAAGAAAATGGATAACTGCTGACTAATTTTATACAAAAATATGCTGGGATGAGGAGATGGATGGACCAGTGGAAGGAAGCAATATATGCTGAGATGAGAGGATGGATGTGTCTATGGGTGGATGGATGGATGAGTGAGTAGATGGTTATATTATTGATGAATCATACAAAGTTCTCAAAATATCTATGGTTTACTACACAAACATAGGAAACTACCCAGTCCACCATACACAGTCCCAGAGTCACCCACCTGGTTTATCCTTCGAGAGGGGAAGGCAAGTCCGATCAGCTGAAAAATGAATCTCAAGGCTATTCTCCACCAAGCTTTTCACTGCTCCAAGACTCAGCTGAGCCTGAATCCTTGGATTCAGGTGTTCCAACCACCTACAGGCATATAAAATCAAGCACCTCGGCATGCAGACTGCTGCTACATTTGTGAAGGAATGGGTCGCTCTCAGAAGCTCAGTGAATTCAAGCGTGGTATTGTGATAAGTTGCCACCAGTGCAATAATTCCATCCATGATACTTTCCTTGCTACTAAATATTCCATGATCAACTGTTAGTGGTATTATGATAACATGCAAGCGACTGGGAACAACAGCAACTCAGCCACAAAGTGGTAGGCCATGTAAAATGACAGAGCGGGGTCAGAGCATGCTGAAATAAACAGTGCACAGAAGCCGCCAACTGTCTGCAGAATCAGTGGCTAAAGACCTCCAAACTTTGTGTGGCTTTCAGATTCGCACAATAGTGCATAGGGAGCTTCATGGAATGGGTTTCCATGGCTGAGCAGCTGCATCCAAGCCTTACATCACCAAGTGCAATGCAAAGCATTGGATGCAGTGGTGTAAAGCACACCGCCACTGGACTCTAGAATAATGTAAATGTGTTCTCTGGAGTGACAAATCACGCTTCTCTGTCTGGAAATCTGATGGAAGTGTCTGGGTTTGGTGGTTGCCAGGAGAATGGTATTTGCCTGACTGCATTGTACCAAGTGTAAAGTTTGGTGGAGGAGGGATTATGATGTACGTTTGATTTCCAGGGGATTGGCTTGGCCCCTTAGTTCCAGTGAAGGGAACTCTTAAGGCGTCAGCATACCAAGACATTTTGGACAATTTCATGCTCCCAACTTTGTGGGAAAAGTTTGGGGATTGCCTCTTCCTGTTCCAACATGACATCGCACCAGTGCACAAATCAAAGTCCATAAAGACATGGATGAGCGAGTTTGGGGTGGAGGAACTTGACTGGCCTGCACAGAGTCCTGTCCTCAACCCAATAATAGAACACCTTTGGGATGAATTAGAGCGGAGACTTCAAGCCAGGCCTTCTCATCCGATATCAGTGCCTGATCTCATAAATGCTCTTCTGGAAGAATGGTCAAACATTCCCATAGACACACTGCTAAAACTTTTGGACAGCCTTCCCAGAAGAGTTGAAGCTGTTATAACTGCAAAAGGTGGACCAACTAAATATTGAACCCTACGGACTAAGACTAGGTGCCATTAAAGTTCATGTGTGTGTAAAGGTGGGCGTCCCAATACTTTTGACAATATAGTGTATAGATAGATATTACACCAAGAAAAGGTTGAGAAGATCCTAGGTGAATCATTGCCAGATGAATAGTTGTATTTATCAAGTTGACTACCATTGTTTTGAAAATGTCTGCATCGGTGACAGGGGCATACATTTGCCACATAGGCACCAATCATTATTGCCATTTCCTAATTGGAGTCTTCTTCATTTTCAGAGTTTGTCCTCATAGAAAATTGAGCTGGGGGATTATAAGGAAAAAAAAAACTTCCTTGGGAGGTGGAAAACAAGCCCACATTTTTTCTAGAAGACAATTTCTTTATAAAAAAACTAATTTGAATGCTTTAAAATTATTTTTTTTAAGAATCTTTTACATTTTATGTTTACATATCCAAATACCTAAAAATATGTCTTCATGTTGTAAATACACTGCTCAAAATAATTAAAGGAACACTTTTTAATCAGAATATAGCATCAAGTCAATTAAACTCCTGGGATATTGATCTGGTCAGTTAAGTAGCAGAGGGAGTTGTTAAACAGTTTCAGCTGCTTTGGTGTTAATGAAATTCACAACAGGTGCACTAGATGGGCAACAGTGAGAAGACCCTCAAAACAGGAATAGTTTTACAGGTGACTGACATTTTTTCACCTACTCATCTTTTCTGTTTTTCACTAGTTTTGCATTTGGCTAGGGTCAGTGTCACTACCATGAGATACCTGGACCCTACAGAGGTTGCACAGGCAGTCCAACTCCTCCAGGATGGCATATCAATACGTGCCATTGCCAGAAGGTTTGCTGTGTCTCCCAGCACAGTCTCAAGAGCATGGAGGAGGCTCCAGGAGACAGGCAGTTACTCTAGGAGAGCTGGACAGGGCCGCATAAGGTCCTTAACTCATCAGCAGGACCGGTATCTGCTCCTTTGTGTAAGGAGGAACAGGATGAGCAGTGCCAGAGCCCTACAAAATGACCTCTAGCAGGTCACTGGTGTGAATTTCTCTGCAATCAGAGAACAGACTTTATGAAGGTGCCTGTAGGGCCCGATACAGTGGGCCCTGTTCACTGCCCGGCACCATAGAGCTCGATTGACATTTGCCATGGTGGGCAGGTTCGCCACTGGCGCCCTGTGCTTTTCACAGATGAGAGCAAGTTTACCCAGAGCACATGTATCCATGGAAAGGGTCTAGGAAGCTGCGGAGAACGTTATGCTGCCTGTAACATTGTTCATCATGACCGTTTTGGTGGTAGTTAAGTGATGGCCTGGGGAGGCATATCCATACACACAGATCTCTACAGGCTAGACAATGGCACCCTGACTGCAATTAGGTAACGGGATGAAATCCTTGGACCTATTGTCAGACCCTACGCTGGTGCAGTGGGTCCTAGGTTCCTCCTGGTGCACGAAAATGCCCGGCCTCATGTGGCGAGAGTATGCAGGCAGTTATTGAAGGATGATGGAACTGATACCATTGAATGGCCCTCATGCTCGCCTGACCTAAATCCAAAAGAACACCTCTAGGATATCATGCTTTGGTCCATCTGATGCCACCAGGTTGCACCTCAGACTGTCTAGGAGCTCAGTGATGCCCTGGTCCAGATCTGGGAGGAAATACCCCAGGACAATACTCTGTTG